TGAATAACCTTTGTGTAAGCTAAACTCACATAGTCCCATTTAGAAACTCATGGGCACCTTTTAGACATTTCAGTCATAGATTGGGGCTGCCATGCCAATTGTGTGAAGACTACTCCTTTAAGAGAGCTTTGATGTGAGTTTAATTTATGCCAGAAGAAGTTTGATTTTTGTATCAGTCTGTGATTGCTGTGGGCATCAAAAAATGAAATGGTCTTCCATCTTATTTTTTTTAATCCTGTTGTGCTAAATAAACCAACACCACATATTTTATTCATTAATACATTTAGGTTTTCATTTCTACCATTAGCCCGCACAAGGGATCTGGAACAACTTTTCTCGGCCAATGTTTAAAAAACAGAGATAAAAATTGATAGCAAAAATTGATTTGGCTTAGCAGACTCTAATACCATTTTCTGCTTAAAAAAGAAAATTTCCCTGTGTTCAGTTGCTCTTTTAGCTCAAATGATGCTATACGGCCTCCTCAAAATATGGGAGTTGGTGCAATCGTGTAATGTCAGGGAATCAAAAGCAAGGACAGCAAAGTTTGAAATCCTTGTCATTTGAATGCATGAGTCAGTTGAGCTGAATTGCCATTAGGAAGTATAATCACTGAGTAAAAATGTTATAATCACTGCTAAGGCCTCAAATAATGAAAGCAGAAATATGAGGAAATAAGAGAAAGCCTTGAAAAATTATAAAGCTTATAAAAATTATAAAAGAAGTTATCCTTAGTGGAAACCCTATTTTGATCTTCCACACCTGCTCATTCTCACTTAATTAATGAAAGGTTCTTAAACTTTTTTCCTTTTTGGGGGGGGTAGAGTGGTGGGGGAGGGGTTATGTGAGAGACATGAACCCTTTTGACATTCTGGTGAAGTCAATGGACTCTTTTTCAAAATAGTGTCCTTAAATGTATAAATTAAAATACATAGAATTATAAAAGATATCAGTAACATTGAAATGAAATTCTTAAAATATTTTTGATCAAGTTCACAAACCATAGCTTAAGAATCTCTGTTCTAAACATATAAAAACAAATAGACACCCCTTCCCCAACCCTCTGCTCCTGACCCCAATAAGGTTTCAAAGGAAGTTAATTGTTTAACACAAATTCACCACCCAATCAATACTCTCTATCTTTAGCTGAATTTACTATAGACAATCATCTGGTTCTGCTACTAGAGATGGCTGGAACAACTTTTTTATCAGAAGCCTAGTGCCATTCCCTGTTTGTTTCACTCAGAGGGGCACAAATAAGATTTGCATAGGTCACGTAAGAGGCTCACTGGTGAAAATTCCATTTTGGGTGGTGAAATCAAAGAATTTATATTTCACCTAAAAAAAATGCAGCCTGGCCTGAAATCAAGACCCATATACTTTTGGATAGTCTTAATAATAGTATTGTAGTTTGCTTTGTATCCTCATCTGGGTGATGCACATAGACTCTCCCTGCTCTCTGCCTCCATGGGGCCAACTGACAGCTGAATGCTAACCATCCTTTTAACTCATGTTTTGTGACTCCATCAGGTTCTCTATGCATGTACTGTGATTAATGAGGTTGTCCCCATGTGGTCCCAGAATTGGGAATGTCATTTTTCTTCTTGAAATTTGCTTGTTCCTTGGTGGTCTTATTATGCCTTTTCTTTCTAAGGAAAGACCCAAGAGTTCTCTGATGGGGCAGTGCTCCTTTAAAGATGAAAACCCTGCCTAAGATCTTTCCGGCAATTTACACCTAAACATCTTCACCACTGTCAGTAACTTTCTTTTGAAATAGCCCTGCAGGAATTTCCACTTGAAACAGGAAGAGAAGGGAATAAGCATGTCTTCTTTGTCTTTCTTCCCCCTGGAGGGGTGGGGGGATGTAGAGAATGAGCTAAAGTTTCCTTGAGGAAGACTTGCTGAAAGAAAAAAATAAAATGAGGATAGGTTTTAGAATACAACAGGTACATATTTATCATTACTTTAGAGTAAAAATGTAAAGATGACCTTTTTTAAGATGATACAAAAATAGACAGACAGACAGACAGACAGACAGACAGACAGACAGATAGATAGATAGATAGATAGATAGATAGATAGATAGATAGATAGATAGATAGATAGATAGATAATGTAGCCATATGTTTCAGATTTACCGAAAGATATGCCTAAATTTGTAAATGTGAGTGATAAGTACACAAAATGAGTGTTGGATGGTTAAAGGCAAATTATTATCTGGGACTTGATATTATGAAATTTAAAGCCATGGTCCTGTGATGGCCACAGGTGGTTATTTGATATGTTCATAAATTTTGCATATACTCTTGATATAGTGGGGATTTTTTTGGGGGAGGGATGTGCTTCTGAGGATTGCCAGCACAGCTGAGGAATGAGCAAAGGCAGTGCCCAGTGGGAAAACATCCTGCAATCGTCAGTCTTTTCTGATGCTGCTGGAGAGAGTGGGGGAACCATAAGACTTAATAAAAGAGACAAATCTGCATGAAAGAAGTCAGTTTAGAAGAATGTAGGCAAACCTCTCTGGGCTTCAACATATGTGAGGACCATAAAAGACATTGGTCACTAGTGCAAGAATCCTATGACTAGTGCTTCTTTGTTTTCTAGAATGAATGCATTCACATAAGACAGACTTATCTGTTTTAAAATCAATTCTGATAAGGCTGAGCTTTCTAAATCTAATCCCACAAAAAATTTGGTCCCTAGATAAACACTTAGTATAAGATATATACATATACATATATATATACACATATATATGTGTGTGTGTGTGTGTGTGTGTGTGTGTGTATACATATATATTTCCTTTCTTCTCAAATATTTTCAGTGTCTTTTGCTACTGAATCTTGGTTAGACCATAATGCAAGCTTTGTTATTAGTGGCCAGGCTATAAATTTTGATAGTCCTCCCCACTCCCCGTCTTCTCTTCTTCTTCACAATCTGTATTTTAGTGCCTCTCTAAATGTATAATTATGAGGCAAGAAGGCCAGGTAGATTATAGGGCATAAAACAGAAGGAAGAGAGAAAAAGAAAATCAAGAAAGAAAGAATACATGAAAATAGGAATGATCCTGCAGATTGGTGGTACTGCCTATAAAACCTATAAAATGAGTGTTTAACGAGATGACCTGAAAGGCCCCTTCTAGCTCCAACAGAATCCTATGATTTCAGTAAAGAATCACCAGTTTCATGCATATGCACATGGTCTTCTCAATTGGTTCTGACATCTTTGGATCCTGTCCTTTGAAAGATCCTATTTGTTTCTAGTAGGACTTAAAAGAAATTCCACAGCTAGTTTATTAGGGATTTATGTAGTACTTTTCTTCTGGGTAGCTTAGTACAATTTACAAACTGAATCCCATTAATCCTCAAGCTCCTCTTGGAGGGACCACATGTAGAGATTAGAGAGAAGGGTCATTGTTTTTCTGCCACCCGCCTTCACCTTTCTGCTGTGTTGGCCAAGAAAGGAACCAATTGCATTACTGATTTCCACTAGAAACTAGAATGAGATCACTAACTCATCTCACAAACCACTGAACACTTACTGGATGGCCCTGGTGTTCAGCCATTCCCACATTGAGCTAGATTCACAATGGTCAGACATTATTTATCTAGTTCCTATATTTTTACAAGGAAAATAGAGCAATGCCAAATCTACTCATAATGACAAGTATACATAATAATTCCATGAATTTGTGTAATATCTAGGCTAATTCATAGATTGTTTATATTACTCTTTTAAGTCTTTGGGGATCTTTGTTCATACTCATTCCCATGAATCACTGAATTCTATTCTAGTAATAATTCTCATTTTCTTCTCTCTCTCTCTCTCTCTCTCTCTCTCTCTCTCTGTCTCTCTTTCTCTCTCTCTCTCTCTCTCTCTCTCTCTGTCTCTCTCTCTCTCTCTCTCTCTCTCTCACACACACACGTATCCTACTGCACACTTATAATTATGAATAAAATGTGTGGGTGTGAATAGGATTATTTCTAAGCTTCTCTTGGTATTTATTTTTGTTTCAACAGATGGATGATCCATTTTTAAGCACAATTTTCAGATCCTTCACTTTACAGGTGCATCTCAAATGAATAATTATTTGGAGATAGGTTCGCCATGGAAGCAGTAGATTAAAACCAATATTATTTATTTTATTTTGTCTCTTATTTTAAAAATCTTATTGATGTCTCTTGTTTTTATATCAAACTCATTTCTGAATATGTCCCTGCCCCCCATCTAGCAATCCATCCTTTGTAAAAAAGATTTTTAAGAAAAGAAAGAGAAAAAAGTTCGGTTAAATTAAGCAACATAAAGGTCATGTCTCTAACTTATTTCTTATAGTACAATAATGGTGTAAAACATTCATGTACAATCAAATTGATGGCTACTGACTTTGTATCTAGTTCTTTGCTACCGCAAAAGTTCTGCTAGAGACTTTTTTTTTGTCTTTGATTTCTTTAGGGTCATATACATAACAATGGAATCTCTGGGAGGTAGACAATGTCATTTTAGCTACTTTAAAAAAAAGTATAATTTCTAATTGCTTTCCTTAATGTTTGGATCAATTCATAGCTCCAATAAGTGTGGTTGTATACCTATAACCCCTCCAACCTTGACAATTTCCATTCTTTGTCTTTCATCTTTGCCAGTTTTTCAAGTGTTAGGTGAAAACTCAACCAGCATTCATGAATCACTTACTATCAGACACTGTGCTAAGTGTTAGTTATTTTGATTTTCATTTTTCTTATTAGTGATTTGATACAATTTTCCATAGGAATGTAAATTATTTACAATTCTCTTGGAAACCATCAGACTAGCATGTTCAAAACTTTCCCTCCTCACCGTTTCCATTTCTCTTCTCTCCCCCCATTTATGATGGCATTTCTTCCTTCATTCAAGGTTTTATTTCTTCTCTCACATATGACTCTTATTAGCCATAGAAAACAGTTTGCTTTTGGCATTTGGGGGCTTTCCCAGCTGCATCCTAAGGTTTCACTTTTCCTTTTTTCCAGATCACCACAGACCTGAGGCAGCGTTGCACAGATAACCATACGGGAACATCAGCCTCAGCCCCTATGGCTGCCGGCATCATCGCCCTGGCTTTGGAAGCCAAGTAAGTTTTGATCTGTACCTTCTATTAACTGGTGACACCCTCCTTCTAGTAGGCTAGAACACCACTCCCTCCCCTGACACTCAGAATATCATCTTTCCCCCCTTTCATGCCCTCCCTCCAATAGGTTTATTCTATATTTAGCTGGGTTTGGAAGATCTTTGTAATATCAAAAGGCTACTGGAGTTACCTTCCTGACAGACATGAAGATTAGTTCCTGCATGGAGAGATGCCAGACATACATGTCAATATTAAGCTTGCACAGATGCCTATAAAGCCTAGGGAGTTTGGCTTTGACAGCTTCTGTATACCTTAGTAGCTATTCCTTAGAATCATAGAACCTCAGAGTTAAAAGGGGCTCCAGAGGTCATCTAATGCTACCCATATCCAAAATAGAATCTCCATTGGGACATTCCTAACAAGTCATCCTTTACCCTTTGCTTAAGGATATCTAGTGGTTAGGAACTCATTCCTTTCCAAGGGAGACCATTCTGATTTTGGACAGCTTAAGTTGTTTGTAAGCGTGTCCCTGATAGCCACATGAAATCTGCCTCTTTTGAATTCCCATTCACTTCTTTTAGTTCTGCCCTTTGGGTCAAGTTGTGCAAGTCTGATCTGGCTTTCCAATGACAGTCCTTCATATACCTGAAGGACTACTTGGTCCCTCCAACTCTTCTCTTCTCTGAGATAAACAATCCCAAGTTCTTTAAACTGAACCTTTTATGTTCCAAGACCTCCTACCATACTTGCCCTCCTCTGGGTAGGCTTTGGTTTCTCAATGCCCATCATAAAATATGATACCCCAAAATGAAAACAACATTGTCAATTTGACTAGAACAAAGGGCTGTGAGTTTCCTTCTTCTGGCTACTTAACTTTTTGTTAGTTTTCCTGGCTTTTAAACCAGAGTTGTTATAGTCCATAAAAACCCTTTGTCACATGAAACACTCTCTAGACTAGAGGTATCATACATGTGAGCCATAATACTCCTGAGTATGGCCCAAGCCAGATTAAAATGTATTTGGGAAACATTTAACAAAATAAGTAAAAATATGACAAAACATAGATAATATTAATACGTGGTTTTCTAAGTCAAGCTAAGGTCCCCAGGCATTTTTATGCATGGTTTTGAGGTTCTTGGTTCTATCTGAGTTTGACCCCACTGGTCTAGACAGTTTGACAAGTCATTACTCTTACTTGAGATTTTCTGACCCAAATGTAGGCCTCCATCCTTAACCTCATTTAATTTACTTTTATTTGTATTAGCACAATAGTTCTAGACTACTGATATTGTTTTGATCCCATCTCTCTTCTACAGTGTGTTAGCCATCCCTTCCAGTTCCCTGCAGCACCTCATCCTTCCTTTAGGATTTAAAAAATGTTTTTAATTAATTTTTCTTCAGGATTATTCAAAGACCATTGACAATAGCTTAGCTATTATAGTAGCATTTTTTTCTACCGTAAGAAATACTTTGTCTGGATCTAATGACTTGAATTTATTAAGGACAGCTAGTTTTTCTCTTATTACCTCTCATATCTTAGATCTCAATTCCCTGTTACCTAGTTTCATTCTATACATCAGAGCTTGAAGATCATTCATAGTAGAGGGGAAAAAAGACAATAAGATTACATCTCTCCATTTCTAATTATCATTTCCCTATCTACTTTGATCAATCATCTTGTCTCTTCATTGACCTTCTTGTCCCTCCCAGAGCTAAAAAAAAAAAAAGACTTTTTTTGTTTATTCTTAGGCTTAAACACAAGACTTAGCTTGTTCTAGGTTCTGGTATTCTTAACATTCTTTGTTACTGTCATCAGTGACCTGCCTTTGTGTTATTCTTCATATATATGTCTTTTTAAAAATATAAGTTGATTCTGGTGTAGCCCCTTAGGTTTCTTTAAATAGTTTTCTCTTTTCTTCCTCATTGGAATAACTTCTGGCTTTTCTTCATCAGAATGTTATTCTTGAGAGGATCCCATCCTGATTGAGACATTTTCATTATAGAATCTTATATGATGGCATCCTTCCTCTCTTTTTTTCTGAATTCTTTGAAAGTATTCTCCCAAAATCAGATGATGTTTACGTTCTCCTTTTTGTCCATGTATAAAGAACTCTTAAGATGCAGTCAGTGGTCTCTTCTTAACAAGTTTCTAATCATTTCTACTTCCTCTCTAAGTTATAGTTCATATTGATATCCAGAATAGCAGTTTGCTTTGTCATTTCTTCCACCTTTTAAAAAATGCATTTTATAAGCAAGTTATCAATGATTCATTAGTTATTCTACTCTTAGCAGAATGATAGAGCTTTAGCAGATGTCTGGATGGCTGAAGATCTCTGTCACTTCAATACCATTCCACCACATCAGCTTTGTGATCTGCTTCTTGAAATTATCATTTGTTTCTAAGTAGCCTTTAGTATATCACCTCCATACTAATATTGTTCCTGTTTCTTCTTCATTTATTCTAAACTCTCAACTCCCCTCCAGTGCCTAGGTGTCCAAACTAGAGGATATTTTGCTAATCTTCCCATTTTCTTTTAATCTAATTTGTTCCATTTGAATAAAGTATAAACCATCCATTGTGGTACTCCAGTCATTAGTGGCATACTAAAATCTGTGAGGTCCAACTAAACTTCTTGTATTAAGATATATAGTTAATTTTGTTTATCACCTAGGCTGCTCTGTTTGTGAGTAGATATCTCAGATCATTAGTATTTTCTGCTGTAATGATGTCATCATACATGAAAGTAATCTCTAGGTAAGAGATTTCCAAGGCTTAGCTGGTAGCCTACTTATTTCAAATTATATTCAGTATAACAAATTTTTGGTATAAGATAAGCACTTTGGACAGAGTCTTGGGGTTAACTCTAGCAAGATTTGACCTACAACAAGGTAACCCATTCTCTTATCAACAGTTAAGTATGTGAGCAGAATAATTTGTCAAACCTGCTATTATAATTTTCTTCATTGAGATACTGAAGGTCAAGGACATTATGTCTGGCCTTGAACAATAAACAATCATTTTCCCAAAGAATTATGACAATTCCACTGGGGAAGAAAGCGAAGGCTCATTTAGCACCCTCCTATAATGAGAGAAAAGACGGATAAGTGGGAAGAAATTTGAGGGTAATGATAAGTCTGAACTGCTGAAATAGTAAATTCAAATTCATACTCTGCCGGCACAACCCCTCACTGCCGCCCCTCACCAACACATAAATGTGTACACACACACACACACACATGCTCAGAGTGATTTAACTCTGTCCTTTATTTTAGGAGAGCATGTGCACCTTAGTATAGAACATGGGTTTACATAATCTAAGGCTGCAATTGGAGGGAAAAATGAAATTTCAATAAGATATACCTGAATATTATGACATATTCAATATGTAATATCATTCCCTATCTGAAACCCTTGTCTTTGGGAGAAATCTGAAACTAGTATATGATTCTTTGCATGAAGAAATGTCACTGATTTTGTTTAGAAGTAATAACCAAGCTGTAACTGTACAACTAGCAATTAAATTTTGGGAAGAAATCTCTGGGATCAAGGACCAAAAACAGTTCATATTTTATATAACCTCAAGCTAAAGGCCTTGCACGATTCAGGAAACCTTTATTAACTGCCTAGGAAGTGCAAAACAATAGAGATTTAGAATGAAAAAAAAGGAAAAAATCACTTTTCTTGCCCTTAAGGAGTTTGTAGTAATATTTTTACTGTTCTGGGCCTCATCTGTAAAATAAATCCATCAGTTTGGACTATAATTGATTAGTGGTTCCCATCATTTTTTGTTGTCATGGACCCCTTTGGCTATCTGGTGAAACCTGGGGACCCCTTCTCAGAATAATGTTTTTAAACGCATAAAATAAAAGCTAAGATTACAAAGGAAATCTATTACATTAGATTAAAAAACTCTTGAAGATAACTGTTAACATTCTACCTCTATAACTCTGTGATTATACTCAGTTTCTCCATTTGTAAAATAAGCAGATTAGCATAAGGCTCTCTTCTGAGGCAGCTAGGTGGCTCAGTGGATAAAGCACTGGGCCTGGAGTCAGGAAGACCTGAGTTCAAATCTAACCTCAGACACTTACTAGTTGTGTCACTTTACCTCTGTTTACCTTCATCTGCTGGAGAAGGAAATGGCAAACTACTCCAGTATCTTTGCCAAGAAAACAACATAAGACAGTATTGGCATGCTGTGCTCCACGGGGTCATAAAGAGTTGAAAATGCCTTAACAAGGTTCTGTTCAGCTCAAATGTTACATTACTCTATAACTATCAAACATTGGCATTTAAGCATGAAACTTATGAACTTTAAAAGTAAGAATGTGGTCAAAGAGAACAATTGAAATCCACCATGTAAAATCCAGACCACATGACTTTTTCATTAGAATGAACATTTATTCCACCTTTAAAAACCTCATTGAAATGTCTGCATATTATTGACATGCAAATAAGTCCTGCAAACATAATAACTCCTGGCCATTTTCAATTTGCTAAGTTTAAATAGTTTACCAATATAAAAAAAATCCAATTACATTTTTAAAACATAAACAAGATTGGAAGGGGAGAAGGGATTTGTTCATATGTTGGTGGAGTTAGATAGACAGGAAGAGCAATACAGTCCTCAGTGGGTTTCTTTGCTACTATATTATATGTACGGACAAAAAAAACCTGTAATTGAAAAAATGCTACAGTCATAAGCACAGTGACACTTGTACCATTATAATCAAGTTTTCTTAACCTGAGTCTGAGGAGCACATTTTTCTCTGAGAAATTATTGTAATATCCTACCAATGACAATTCTTTCTATCACTACTGCTATCACTATCACATGTAACATTCCTTAGGTTCACTTTTAAATGACTCATTTACATAGATGTGATTACAATTGAGCTGACCAATATATGGAAAAGTGATGCATTTTTAGAAAATAATTTAATTCTCATTTCCTTTTCTTTTTCTTGACATTTGGAACATGTTTCAGGGTGAACTTAAAAAA